CAATGTACTTTTTGGGGAATGTTGCGGGGTGACAGTCCTTGGACGAATAATGTCGCGGGAACTATTGGATTTTAGTTGCCTCTTAGGAGAGACATGCTTTGCCGCGGGTAAATTCTTGAACCCCTCACCCGCAGGAGGGAGTAATAATTAGTTCTTCCATATTGGCTTCCAGAGCGTAAATCACACCGGCATAATTGGCGCTTTGTAACGGCAGAAAAGATTTTCGACCAAGCTCCTCCTCCAATTTGTGGTAAGTTTATTCTAAGCCGCCTCCGAACGACTGATGCCTTTTTATGAGCAACCTTTATATTATCGCAGAAATACACTTGGAGGGCTTGACATTCCCGGCGCAGTTTGCGCAATTAAAAAAATTGATTTTCTTAACCAATCTTGGATGTTGATCGATGCAGGGCTCTAACTCTGACCTTCAAAATGGCAGTACACAATACTAACCGCTTGGCTATTTTCAATCGGGTCGGTCGATACGTGAAATAAACTGCTCATTGAACTAGCCTCTTAATTGGCCAACAGTTTCGCGTGCTGTGTGGTATGAGGACGGCACTGTCTTGTAACCATATCATGGTAGCGCTGGCCAATGTCAGTGACGTTTTGTTCTTCGCCAAACAAAATGATTTTGAACTGAAAAAGAATCTTAATCTATCTTTACCGGCGTCCATTCACCAAAAGTTACCCGCTGCGGCAGGCCGTGCAGCTTCCATTCGTGCACCAGCAGTATTTTACAAGGTTGCACACGCACTTCTTTCCGCAAATATTTCCACGCAGTAACAGGGGACCAAATTACCGCGAACACCGGACCGATAATTCATGGACATTGCAAACACTGCCGGCTAGAGCTACCGTATTTTCCTCTGTCCACACTCGACGTATGTGTGTTGATGGTTTGATGTTCAGAAATGTAAATTTGATGCGAAATTAAGCCACTAGATTCCCTATAGCCGCCTCGAAAGGTCGGCCAGACTGATTTTCAAATGTGAGAAATGCACCGTGTTGCGTGTATATGAAAATTTTCAAACCACCAAAGATAATTGGAGCGCTTGGAATTCGAATTCATCGGTTTATCTCCACCAAGTATCGCCGCAAAAGCAAAACTTCATACGCAAAACTCTCTTCTACAACTAAAGTGTTTCCAAGAAAATAAGTTATTTTCAGCAGCCTACTATTCCGGTAGATGCCACTTTTGAAGCTGAATTTTTTTTTAACATTTAACAAGTAAAACCATTCCTCCCATTCCATAGCTCGATGGCTACGTCAATATACGAAACTGTCCCATCTGTGGCTCGAAAACCCTACGATTTGTCGTTGAAAAGCCTCTCCATCTTGAGCTGAACTGTATGATGCGGTTTATGGTCCGGCGGGACCATTGGATCTTGCTTTTTCGAAAATAAGGCTGGAGCAACAAATGCGCTATCGAGAGATGAGTAATGATTTTTTTGGCCGGAGTTGGAAGATATCGATTTGGACTAAGTTAACTTTCAACAAGCCGGTGCTACGTGCCACACAAGCACAAGAAACCAACAATCCTTTAAGGGAAAAGTTTCCGGACTGAGTTATCTCTCGAAGAGGTGAACGCAATTGACCACCGAAATCTTGTGATTTAACACCTTGTGACTTCATCCTTTGGAGCCTCGTGAAAGACAAAGTCTACAGCAAAAGGAAAACGTCCTTCCCACAGAGGGAATTCGTGAAGCTGTAAGCGTAGCCGGGACAGTCCTTTGGCTCCATTATTGTTCTTATTCTTTTCAAAAAATGTCATTTTGATATTCAAAGAGAAATAACAACAAAGTTTTTTTTTATTTTTTTAAATAAACTAAAACCCAAAGAAGGCACCGCCCTAATGTGAGCTGCGGTGTTTGTGGCTGTGCCGCTGCTGTCCACTCACTGCGTTTAGAATGCAATCGCCATGCTGTTACACGCTTGCTGCTTTATCCAATGAATGCATATATGTTTGTTTGTATGCATGTATGCATGTATGCATGTATGTATGTAAGTATTTATGCATTAATGTATGTATGTATGTACGAGTATGTGTTGCCGCAGTCCATTACATCTACAGTAAATTATTTGAATTACTTAATTATGTAAGCGAAATCAAAGCATTCGCGTTCCTTTTAACAGCGCGCGTGTGTGTGTGTGTGTGTGTGTGTGTGTGTGTGTGTGTTCATATGCGTACGTGTATGTATGCATGTGCATGTGCACAAATGATATTTACCAATAACACTTTATGGTGCACTTTATTACTACAATATTTGCAACAACAGCAACAACAATAACAACAACAACAACAGCAACAATTGCACCTTCAATGCAATAACAATAACCATAACCATATTTTCACCAACATTTGGCGTCTTGTGTCATTGTTTGTTTGGTAGCAGTTGTTGTTGGTCTCGTTGTTGTTGTTGTTGTAATTGTCACAGTACTGAACAAACTGCAGTTATTTGTTATTTATTTGGTTAGCCGGAAATATTGGCTGCTGCTGCTGCTGTTGTTGGTCACTCATGAAATTAAGAGAAAAATTTTGTTTTGATTTTTTTTTCTTTTCGTTTTAACTTTAATAAATAGATTTATTTTTTTATATAATATTTTTTTTTTTTTTTTTTGTTGTTTGCTCATTGTGAACAATTTATGGTCTGGGAATGTGGTTTGCCTTTCCGCCGGACCTCGCATGCCGATCATATGTGTGTGTGGGTAGTGGGAAAGGTGTTTTTTTCTGACTGAATTTGGGTCTATGGAGTGTCGATATTGGGGAATGCTGTTAATAAATTGGGTGAATTTATCATACACATACATACATACATATGTACTAGGAAAATTGAGGAAATCCTTAGAATAAATGACAGTTTCATAAACATGCAGTAGAGAGAAAACAGACTGCGGGATGGAATAGATATCGAGAGCTGAAGAGGGAAGCAGGATGCATTAGAAGACGGCCGATCCCACAGTCGGCGCCAATTACCGTGGCATAAGCCCTCTCAATAACGCATATAATGCCTTATCAAGCGTATTGTGTGAAAGACTAGGTCCCACAGTCAGCAAACTGATTGGTTCTTATCAGTGTGGCTTTAGGCCTGGTAAATCAATATTCATCATGCGCCAAATATTAAAAAAAAACTCGTGAAAAGAGGAGCGACCCACAACACCTCTTCGTGGGTTTTGAAGCAGCCTTTGACAGCACGAAAATGAAACTGTCTCTACGCCGTTTGGTATTTGGTATACCTACATAATCAGAAACTCTTGAAAAGTAAAGTCCTCTCTTGACGAACAAAGCTCAAAATCCGCAAGTCGCTCGCTCATCATTCCTGAGCTTCAAGTATTTAGTCAAAGTGAACTTTAAAAGCCTTCGTACCGAGGTTTTGCGAAATGTTTAGTTCCTGCTAAAGTTGTCGAGTTGATGCTAATGTCTGTTTGAAAACACTTTGAGCTACAGCAACAAAACCCAACGCTCTGAACGGGTAAGCTATTTCGTTCAATAAAGACCCGTTTTGGCGATCTCGCTGATGTACAACTTGCAGCCCACAAAAAACTTTTTGTATCTCTTCCTGTGGTACCGGAAATTTTTTGGTGTCACCTGCAGACCTTTTTTATAGAGAGACACCTAGAATGAATCAACACCTTCCTGGGAGTTGGCTAACGAAAAGATAGAGTTACCTCCTAGGGTTTTTGTAAACGCGGAACAATGAAGATCTGCATAATGTCGCATACTAAACTCATACCTATTTAGATTCGACTCTTAGGAATGCAATATACATATGTCACGCATGCAATGAGTCCCTCGCACAACACAAAAATATCTCCTCGCCTGTCCGTCTTAGCCGAACCCGTCGTTTTCTGGACTCCCATTAGGTGATATACTATTTTATATAACACCCAATAGCTTCACTCGATTCTAACCGTAGTGCAACGAATTGGCACAACAACAGCTCTTCTCCCATTACTGATGTGCGTCTTGATGTTTTCCTCTAAAAATGGAAGGATGCAGGCTATTTGCCTGAAAAAAGGGAATATTTACTTCGTCTTGTCAGAAATATGATTTTTTGTTGTGTTTGTAGCGTACGTGTATAATTTCCCAAGTGTTCAAATGTTATTAATACGAGTTCCTAAATAAGGCTTTCAAACTGTTTCCATAATAGCGTTGCCAACAAAAAAATAAAACTTGATTACACCCTGTTACTCGCTTACAGCGCCATCTATTTTTCATAGGAAACCACAACGTTGTAAGCCAGAGAACTTTCAGCAACAGTTACTGTGCCACCTTTTCTTCATTTTAATAAGAAAAAATGTCAGTTGTCGGTTATCGCTAACAAAGAGTTAGCAAAATTTAATTTCATCTACATAAATTTAATTTTATATTCTACATTTTATTTTATTAACATTTTTAATGACATCTTCCATTGCATTCTAATTTAAATAATTTTATTTTTTTTGTTTAAGTTAATTTTATATAACTTTATTTAATTTTTTTTATTTCCTTTATTTTGTCTTAAGTTGGTTTTATTCATTTTGATTTAATCTTTTTATACAATTTTAGTCTATTGTGATTTCGTTTTATTTTATTGAAGTACAATTCAACTGAAATTTAATTTCTTTCACCTTAATTTAATTTTATATTTTTATTTGATATGATTTCATTTTAATTCTTTTTAACTCAATTTTTTTTTAACTTAGTTTTATATCAATTTTATTTATTTATTTAATTTTATTTTATTTTAATTTATTTTATTTTATTTTATTTTATTTTATTTTAGTTTATTTTGCTGTATTATTTTATTTTCTTTATTTCATTTTAATTTACTTTAATTTATTTCAGTTTATTTATTTCTACTTTATTTTCCTTTATTTTATTTTTTATTCTCGGTGAAGAAAATGATTAATACGGCAACATACGCCCAACCACCATTAGTCTATTTGTAGATTGTTTTAGCCGGCAACCTTTGAACCGGTAAAAGTCATCTTGACACCTTGTGAGTGCTGCCAAGTTTAACTCACTTTTGAGGCTGTCAAATTTAGTGCAATTTCTTTATGTACTCTGCATTTGGTGTGAAATAATTAACAGTCGCAAGAAGTAGTGAATGAAGTGAAAAAATTAACTTTTCTGCATCGTTAACGAGCAGAAAATTTGTATCACATTGAAATTGTACTGAGAATTCATCGCCAGCAAAGCAGCAGTCACGATCGTGTGTCAAAAAGAAAGATGGAAAGCAGGTGTCTAACTAAAAGTAGATAAGCAACGTCTGGAAACAGATTTCTTTGCTTTATAACGCAGCAGACAAAGAAGAAAAAGCAACAGAAAAAAAGTAATAAGAAAAATTATAAACGTGAGGAAAAATAACTCACGCCAAGTCGAGAAACGACAGTAGCAGAATTGTGACGACGACAACGACGCAGTCGACGTCGCCATTTCAAAAAGCAACAAGAACAAATTCTGCAGCAGAAGCAGCAGTTTTGCAAAGACAAAAGCGCCAACAGAAGGCATAAACGCGAAACAGCAAAACTACACAAAAATGCTCATATTGCAAAGCTAAACATAATTTTGCCACTTTTCCCCACAATTTTTATTTTTATTTATACATAATTTAAAACTTTCTTACGACGTTTTTTCTTTGGTTCTTTGGAAATTTCCTCCTGTGCCTCTTTTAAGTGCACACAATTCGCCGACAGCCGTGTACGCCGCATGCCTATCTACCAACCGATCGTCTAACCGGTCGACCTATGTAAGTATTTACTATTATTGTGTATAATGAGAGAATCCAACGCCCACCTAGTTCAGGCAATTACTTACTTTTCCTACATCTTTTTGACAATATATGTATATATTTTGTAACCACTAATATTAATTTTACACATATGTTTCCTTGCAGCTATTTAGCGTACTTGGCGTGTATTCATTTATACTTTTAAGCTTTAATAAATAAATTATTAAAGGTCTTGGAGCCTGCTGCTACGAAATTTGTCTGCAAATTTCTTAATTCTATTTAAACCGCTGCGCGTTTTTAACAAGTTATTCTATTTAAAATATTATATATTTCTTAAAACTTATACGAAATTCTTGCTAAAGGTATGTACTCCTTCAATTGTTAATGACATTATATAATACACTTTATAACTTTAGCCCTATAATTTTAGTTAAGAATATTGTACATATTTATATGTAAATTATTGAAATATTAAGATTTATTCAGCTTGTAAAAGCGCATCGTTTCACGTATTATCAAATATATATATGTATATCTAATCTACAATATGTTGTGCACGCCTACATAGCTAAAACAAGTCTAGCAGACCCAAGTCACGTGCATTTTATTGCACATCCAATACAAAATTAATTATTTAAACAAACAAAGGCACAGGTCAGCCTCTTATCTCCAGTGATGCAAACAGTGTATTTTTATAAACACTTAAGCACATAAAAGTCAAGTCTCACTGCGACATCCGAAGCCGGTTGCTCCGTTGTTGCCATCACGCTATTACCAATTTTGTAGAATTCACGTATACAATAAAATAAAGGACCGCAAAAGACCGGTCTGAACAGCAACTGACAATTCTAAATCGGGCCAAGCGTCGACTGCGGCAAAATAAAAAATTTCGCTAACAAAGAAAGCTACAAACGTCAACAGACTAATTTTGTACAAATGTATAAATGCGTATATAAATAAACAATGCCTGTGATGTAATAATTATGGTCATCATATCAAAGAAAATTCACACTTGTTGAGCGTCTTTCCTTTAATAATGAAGAAATTTGCCTAATGAGAAATGAGTTTCCAAAGAGTATAATTACATATATATTTTATTCGTAAATTTTTATGTACTACCTACGTGCGCACATACCTGTGCTTGTGTATACATACATATATTTACATATATGTGTATAATCTACCTTAACGTATGCAGTAATAAAAAAAAAACAAAAACGTGCTGCCCAAACGCAATCTCATAAATAAGGTACACAATAAATAGAGATAAGCGAAAAAGTGCGATTTTAATTAATATTTTATACATTTTATTATATTCGGCGTAACCAATGCAATGATTTTGCGAATTTTTATGAATCTTAGAGGCTTTTGAAAAACAAACTTTTACTGCTTAACATATCAAAGGAAAATATTTTAATTAATTATAAACTAACATTTCTCTCTCACACAGATGGTTAAGGAAAAGCCTAATTCTACACGAATTTACGACAAGGATGGCTTTCGCCGTCGAGCGGCTTGCATTTGCGTGCGTTCCGACGCCGAAGCAGAGGTAATATACATATATATATATATATATATATATATATATATAGATATATATATATATACATATTTATTTGATAATAATATCACTAATTTTTAATAATCTTCACATATTATCTGGCACAGGTGCTCTTGGTTACCTCATCACGTCGCCCAGAATTGTGGATTGTGCCCGGTGGTGGCGTTGAACCCGAAGAAGAGCCTTCGGTTACGGCTGTGCGTGAAGTACTCGAAGAGGCCGGTGTTGTGGGCAAACTTGGCCGTTGTTTAGGTGTATTTGAGGTGCTTAGCAAAAAAAAAAAGACAAATAAAAAATTCCATTTAGTATATATAAAAGCAAATATTAAAAAGCCACATTTTTCTCTCACACACAGAATCGTGAACATATGCATCGTACTGAGGTGTTTGTAATGACCGTTACTAACGAGCTCGAAGAGTGGGAGGATTCACGTAGCATTGGTCGTAAACGCCAATGGTTTTCAATAGACGATGCATTGACACAATTAGCATTGCATAAACCGACACAGCGACATTATTTAATGCAACTTAGGCATTCGAAAAGTAATACGACCACTTCGAATACACCACCAGCATCGCCTACAGAGACATAAGGATAAATAGTGAGCAAAATTGTCACACACAAACACACACACACCCACACACACATACACGCAGAGATTTACCCTTGCAATACGTAGATGCAGCGCGTTCTATGTTTGCGTATATACGTGGACCGTAAACTTAAAAGTGACGAAAAACGCACGCAAAAACAAACACACACACACACACACGCATATACAGTTAGACGTACACGTAAACACACCCATACACAAATTACCATATACATACCTACACTCACACATACATTTTTATATTAATATAGCAGGTGTTTGCATGCAACACCAGCCGCTGTTGCGCTGACACAGTGTATGTTGATATATTAACATATTAAAAAGAAAAATGCACTTAATTTAAAGATTTATTCATGTTTTGGCGAATTTGCAACCAATTCACTTTCATCTAAAACTACTTTTTTAAATGAATAATAAAATGAATGTCTACACGCATACATGCCACATACACACACGTGCAGTTAAAAGTAAATATTATCATTACCATTTAATTATGTCGTAAAGTGAAAGAATAGATACTTATGTATATCTAATATGCAAAAAAAAATTTAGTTTAAATCTTTTCTTGAAATATGCAAACAAACCATAGACTAACAACAAAAAAAAAACAATTTATGATACACATCAACAACAAAACATAAACAAAATTCATCACTAACATTAAGCTATTTTTTTTTAATACTGTAATTAAAGTCTATAATAATTAAGTTGAACAAAAAGTGAAATGTAAAGAAAACACATTGACAAAATGAAAATTATGTATGTACTATGCTAGAAAAAAAAAATGTTTGATATATAAAATTAAACTGTATTGTTAACTCTTAACTGAAATGCAGTTTTAGTTTGGCGGGTAATCTTAATTTAATGAAAAAAAAACCAAACAAAACAAAGTACATAACTAAATAAAGATATTTTCGTAATTTATAACAGTCGAAAAGTAAACCAAAATCGATATAAAATAAGCAAGCTCATACATATGTAATAATGTGAACAATGTATTTGACGCAACTAATCAGTAAAAAAAAAAAACAAAAAAAAACAAGGAAAATTCTAATAAAGAGTTTACAACAAAAATTTAATAAAAATTTTAACAAATTGCACATTTTTGTAAATTTCTACTTAGATTTTCTACTATTTTATAATTTAAATGGAACGATAAGATGATACACAAATGCTTACACACATACACACGTACATGCATACATACATATATATCTACTTACTATTGTAATGTACAGACATTGTTTCGTCAAGCTGCTTTTTGCGGTAGTAATTAAATTATGTAATCAAAATTCTAAAAAAAAAATTAATTTAAAAGCAAGAAGAGCGTAAAAAATTAAGTGATGAAAATAAAAGAAAAACAAAAAGAATTGTGAAAATAATATAATATATACTTACATAGATATAAACAATTAAGGCGATTTGAGTTGGGAAAGTGTTTGCCGTAAACAAATCTGCATAAATATGAAATGACGTAATACATTTTTTGTTTTTTTATTTTTTTTTTTTTAATTTTTTTGTTTTATTTTATTGTTTTTTAATTTTTTTTTTAAATATTTTTTTTATTTTTTTTTAAATATTTTTTTTATTTTTTTAAATTTTTTTTATTTTTAAAATTTTTAAAATTTTTTTATTTTATATTTTTTTTTAAATTTTTTTTTAATTTTTTTTTTAAATTTTTTTTTTAATTTTTTTTTTTTAATTTTTTTTTAAATTTTTTTTTTAACTTTTTATTATTATACATATAAACGTTTACTCTACGCTGTCGTACATGTAGTTGCCTTCCGTATTGCGTATAGTGAGAAGTTTAGTTTCCAACACAACTTTGTTAGGCATTTATGTTGACAAAAGAAAAAGAAGAATAATTAATAATAATAATATTAATATGCAATAAGCTGAAAGAGAGTATACAAATCACATTATGTCACTTACTGCATTTTTTTTTTAAATTGTTTATTTGTATTATTCTTTGCTTATTTTGCAAGAAAAAGTCGTCGAAAAAGAAAGAATTTAATAATTTAAAAAATACACTATAGTAACTAAACGCAGTCACTGACATTGTTAAGGAAAGAATATTGAATACTAATTAATTTAATTGTAATGTTAAATAAAAGGAATGAACAATAAAAAGTAATAGTTGATAAATGAAAAAAAAAACAAAATGTTTTAACGAAAAACATTAAATAATAACTGTAATTAATTAAAAATAAAAATAATAACTGATAAGTGTGAAAAATAAGAATAACTGTTGCAATTATAATATTTAATTATAATGAAAAAAAAAAAAACAAATAACAAATAAAAAATACATATATTATTATGCATGTAGAAGCAGCGTAAAGTAATAAAACAAGAAGAAGAAGAAGAAAAAAATGAAACGAACGCTTTATATTTTTGTTCTACTACAATGGTTTATTTTCGATGTAAAAGCAGATTTTTCATTTTTCATTTTTGTAAATAAAATATGTAATATTGGCCATTTTGGTGCTTTTCAAAATACTTCAATTTTCATGAAATGTTTGTATGTATAAATGTAATTTGTACGTTTGGCTGCAATTACGTTTTACTTTTATATATAATACGAGTATATATATATAAAAAAATACTACTTAAGAAAAACTACTACTTTTTTCTACTACATTTCCACTTCTTCCGTTTGCTCGGTTTGCAAAATCTTCCGCTTTTGTGCCATTCCATTGCCAGCAATGCTGCGCATATAGCTGCCAATCGATTTGCAACGGTTTTGCCAGCAACTCGGGAAAAGCTGTCGGGTGCACGCGAACATAATCGCAGAGCAACTTTAAATTGTTATTCTTTTGCGCTGCATTGCAGATGCGCTTCTCCTGATCGCATACACCGAGGCAATCATGCCATTTGCAATCTTCATCCGTTGTACAATCGTCACCATTCGCTAGCTGTTTGTTCAGTTGGCTCTCCAATTTAATGAATTTGGCGTTATGTGCTTTGAGTCTGTGTGGGTGGAGTTAATATATTAGTTGAATTTTGATTTTTACATATACATATGTATGCATGTATGTTGTGTACCTTAAATCCTTTGTTAAGCCGAAATTGTTTAATTTCATGTTACAGATTTTCAATGGATCCGGTTTCATTGCCTCCAAACGCAGAACGTACTCCAAGAATTTCACGAAATACCGTCGTTTTTTGAGTGCTTCATAGCTGTAATGAGTGGAGATTTGTTAGATTTTCATTTCATGGTTAGTTATTGTTGCACATGATATGTACATAGTATTATATACATATGTATGTATCTTATAATAACTCTGTCATTGTCATGTCTGACGTCTGCAGCGTCTTCCAAGCAGAAATTATTGCCATCTCGAAAGCCGCTGAATGGTTGATGGGATTTCCTTGACCTCATATGCCGATGATTGCTCGATATTGACGTCTGGCCAGGGTATTGATGACCTTTACTCGTAAGTGAACGGTTATTTCGCCGATCTGTCCCACTTCATTTCACTGCACGACAGCTTAAAATTCAACCCAGCAAATCATCGGCCACCCTTTTCACCAGTTGAACAAAGGAATATAGGCACGAACTAGATGTGAAGGTCGGTAACATTTAAATTCTGAACATAAATAACCCAAGCTTATTGGGCTCAAACTGGACACTGCAATTGTAGCGAAACTCCTCAACCGCAACAAAATACTCAAAGCGCTAGCCGACAGCACTTGGAGTGAAGGCAAAGAAATCTTGTTGGCAACAAGAAACCTTGCTGGCAACAAGAAACCTTGCTTCCGCACGAGACGCAGATGAAGAAGTGAGAGGCTTGCCAGAACACCACACTCAGCACCGCAACAGGAAACTTTCTTATGTCGTTAGAGCACCACTTGTACAGTGAAGCATCTATGCGACGAGTTAAGGAGTATCATACTTTGCTGTGCAAGCAATTCCTATTGGGATGCTACTGAATTGGTTTTTGGGGATTATTGCGGGAATGACACTCCTTGGCCGCATAAAAATCCGGGTCATTCCGGTATAAAAACGAGACTGTCAGGTGAATTTTTGGATTTTAGTCGCCGCCTTGCCTTATCACGGGTGAATTCCTGTAATCATGTGACGACTTCACCATCTGTAAATTCGCCTTGTGCACCTCGATCGGTTGAGTGGTTTTCGAAAACTTTTAACAAACCAAATTCAAAAACACAGCTTCGAGGGGAACGCTTTTAAAGTTTAAAGCGCTGAGCCTATCTGCCTTTGAATGCTCACTTTTTCAAAGTTGTATCTCCGAAGCCTTTTTCCGGATCGATCGGATAATATTCTTCAGCTGTTGTAGAAATTATCATAATAAGATAATAAAAAATGATGTTTTGAAACTGTGAAACTCGTGTAATCTCACGAGAGAAAACTACGCACTTAAAAGGTGTTCTTTTTGCAAGAAAACGACATTCGAAGAAGAAGACATACGAGTATATCAAAAGTATATACATACATACGTACATTATTGGCTTTTTAATTGGCTCTTAATAACCGCCGAAATGATGAAGGCAGACTCCAATTTGGGATGTGAGTCTTTATGTTTTTTTAAGCCGTGTCTGCATGGCAGATGCATTTTTATGAGGAAAAGCTCCGTTTCACATCAGATATACATTCGCAGGGCTTGACATTCCCTGTCGAGGGGCAACCGCAATTAGAAGAATTAGTTTCCAGCAATTTTGGATGTTGGTTGAACCAAGCTTCGTACCCTGGTCTTCAGTAGTCACTACATAGAAAACTTTCAGAGCTGAAGTGTTTTAAGCCTTCGAGATAAAGTTACCTGACCAAGATAGCCGGCGCTGCTGCTATTTTAACAACAAAACTATTTCCCAAAGTGTCTTTTAGGGAATGTTGCGGAGGTGGTCGGATAAAAATCTGCATCCTTACGGTATAAAGGCCAGATTGTTGCGGAGCTTATTGCCTACGAAATTCTTGTGAAAATTCCTATAGTCTACACATCAAATGTTGTCCACGTCTGAGCATCAAAGAAGAGTAATGGAATGATAAGACACTTTGTTTGTTGAGAATACTTTCTTTTCAGTTTGAGATTGCACCTGTTGCAAAGAGTACTTCTTCGTTGGTCTTGTCGACGTTCAATACCAGATCCATTCGCTTCGTTTCAACGGCCAATTCAGAGAATTAAAGTTACCGATATCACCGACTACGGTAAATGGCTCGGAGGGGTCATGCTCAACTGTCTTTCTGGCATTGTTCCTTCTCATTTGGTTATTCATTACTTATATAACAAATACATATGTACATATATTGTAATTTAATACTTTACACTTACTTCCGGTTATTTTCTCTTACAGTCAAACGCTCCGATATGAAAAATGGTCCACAATTACCCAGTATTTTTGGAAATATTTCTTCGTCCTCAAACAGTTTAAACATTACATAATCATTCCAATTGAAAAGCATCCAGTATGCTTCCATTTCTTTGTATTTATTTTCATCGATAGCTTCGGTGTATGGGAATATGGACTGCGAGTGAATGACAAAGAAAAGAAAGAGAAAAGTTTTTTTAAAATGACATATGAATATGGGCTTTGTAGGTTAGAAAGCAAAAAGTCTAAAGTTGCTTAAAATAGAAGATCCTGCATTAGCTGGATTGGAGTTAGGTATAAAGATCTTCTAGAAAGTGCCTGAATTTGTCGAAAATAATCACAAGAGTCTTATACCTCTTCGGGAGAGTAGAACTTCCGAGCCACAAAGTTTAGTCTGAGCGGCGGCGCCTCTTGCGATAAAGATCTATCATGAATATGAGAGCTCTTCACAAATATTAGTGAGCCTTTCAGCGGAGACTAGAAATTAAAGGTCCATTCATGATAACAAATTCACTTTTCTATGCTCCAAAATGAGTTGCCTCTGAACTAAGGTAAGAAAGTTTTCAGTTTCAAGGGCAGAATATATAAATTATCGATTTAACACTCAATGTCTCTAGATTTAGATTCGACAGGAAATTGACGCTTTTAGCTTTGAACAAACATTGGGGAGGAAGATTAATAGGAAACAACCCGGGAAGGTGAAGGCAGGAGCCTCAACGGTATCACAATGGGCCAGCAGCCGCATCAACTCAACTCAACCCTGGAAAATGTAGCGTTTAATTAATTGTTGTTGTTAGACGACTATTAATCAACCGAATCACCTAATGTGAGTGAGGGAAACTACTTGACTACAAATCCAACATTACACACCTTCCTCCTAAGCGACTGAGAGGCACGAGAGAAAGGTAAATGGAAAATCCAACATGCCGGTGATCGAAAACCATGACAATCCGGTTTGTTCAGAATCTGAAACCGATCGCGAAAGGTGGCGCTTATATTTGGCTATTGCACTGAACAGCCATAGATTTGCTCATCAGCCACATAAATTATTGAAATCGTTAGTCAAACATCTAAAAGGGATGTACATTTCAGGGCTTGTTACGCAAGAACACCAAAAAAGCGCCCTTAATTATCTAGATGGAAAAAAGTATTCCTCAAAGTGACTTTTCGTGTCGATTCTTTCGACTGGTATGCCTTACAGTGGATACGTTCTTGAACCTCTAACTCACACCTCTTATCAATTTAATTAAAAATAAAGCCCCAAGCCCATCTCTCTACGACAATGGAGTATAGGCAGATTAATAACCTCAATAAAAAGGTTATTTGAAAGAAGCTCTGACTTTAAGTAATGCCTTTTAAATGGGTAATCGTAACAGTTCTGGATCCAAGATAAGTATCCATCTTCTCAGACGGTTCAAAAGTAGATGACAAGGTGTGCGGCCTGTGGAGTTCACTAGGAACCACTTGCATCTTGACATAAGCAACAGACTTGCCAATCACTGCTGCGTCTTTCACACTGAACTAACGGCAATAATGGAAGCCGCTTCAAGGTTACTCAATAAGATGTCGGGAAATCTTAAATAAACTCTCAATGGTGGTATGCCAGGAAATTGCGAGGCTAGCGAGCTAGCAAAAAAGAATGCAATCCTTACCACGGTAAGTTCTACACACAATCCATTCTTCTTTTCTCTGCAAAATGGGTGCCAAAAAAAGCAATGTTCACCAGCAAGCCCAATGGAAGATGGCAGTGTGAAGTCATTTGTAACTATGCAGATCTGTCATTGATCGATACAAGTACTCTCTTCGCTTAGTTCTTTTAAACAGAAGCTCCACATAAATAAAAGTAATAAAAAAGTACATAAATAAAAGTAATCAGAGTTTGTCTTATGAGAACTCATGGTAGAAGGTATGTGCTGCTCTCTATGGTAAGGACTTCTGCTGCGGCTTCAGAGTTATATACGAAAAGGAGACTTCCACTGCCACTGCAGCCCGACATTTTTTTCTAGGTAATTTCTACTTTGACTGTCTTGAAGATATAGCGTCCGCAAGTGTCAATTATCTAATGTGTTTCATTAAACAAACCAAGTGGTTTGAGCATTTAAAAGGGTAAGAGGAACCTCTTCTATAGATCCGCATAGATATCATAACAGACAAACAGGCCTAAGTGTTTGAGCAATCCAACTAACTAACTAACCAACTACCAAACGTCGTCTTATGTGGGCTTAAACTAATGACGGATAAAGCTTAACATATGCGTTACGTGACTTTTGTAACTGTTACGGCAAAGCGAAAGGCGCCAACATCTTGGCACAACGAACATTTTGCTCTTCAATTATTTAAATCAAAGAATTAATTAATCGCTATTTTAGGTCACTAGATTTTGACCGCACCTTCAACTGCATGAGAAACTATTGATGCTGTGCGCAAACTGGTATTGGACCTGTCGTGGGATTGAGACAACTATAGGCATATTAGCATTATCGCAGGAGTATTTGACGGTAAAAAAAAATTGTTCGCCTTGGATCCCACACTTTTTGAGAATCACTCAAAAATAGGCTCATGTCTTTTGGTCGAAATGCTAAAAAATACGCTAGCGGATAACAAGATTAACTATTTATCAAAATATGATCGCTCACGAAGTCCTTCCAAGCAAATGTTGCCTGGAAAAACTGAGCATGTCGCAACCGTACAACAAGAAAACCACAGAACATTAAATTCTGTGTGGTACATAATCGTGCCAGTTTGCCAGCTTTCTTTCAAGAAATCCTAAAAAACCTACCGCCGAAGAGGGATGACTCTTCACCACGACAACTCTTGCTCTCGCACATCGTCTGACATTGAGCACTCAAAAACTTTGATTTGCTGAGTCATCCACCGTATGATCCAGTCTTGGTGCCGAATGACTGCTTTTTTAATCCTGTGCGTAAAAATTAAACTGAGACCTTTAGGCTTTTCGACACCTGAAGAGACGAATTATGCGTTCATAACGTTCATGTTTTGAAGATACCTCAATCAGAGTGGCAAAAGTGTTTCGACAATTGGTTCAAACGCATACAAAAGTGCGTAGATCTCAATGGCGAATATTTTGAAGAAACAATAAATAAATAATTAATATTAGTTTTTGTTCTCTAAACCCGAATTTCTCACCCGAGCATTCAGCAAAATTTAAACATAAGTACAGTGACGATGCTGCCCGGATGAAGAGCTGTTCCCAATAGTAACTTAAGCGAAAAAACATCTCTGCACCAAATTTCAACTAAAATAGAACATTTTTTTGAACAAGTCCTTCCCAGGCCCACTTTCCGAAAGAACAAGACTGCTCTATGTCAATTTAGACAATTTTTTGTACAGTAGTCGAATAGATCGAGCACAGGTCGTCTTACCGTAAAACCGTTTCTAAATCGGATGTCTACGTTATACATAGAATTAATCCACCCAGTGTCTGCTCTCTACGATTAGTGGTTTAGGCAGTGGGTTCATCCAACAGTCGCTCAGTGCAAGAGACTCGATACTTTATAAAACAAAAACAAATAACACTTTTCATAAACTTACCTTTTTATCTTTCAGTGTGACATTGTAATTGATCAAAAGATGCAGTTTAAGAATATTGTAAAATTCCGATTTTTTTGGATAGTCCAGTGTCAACCCACTGCTTCGCCATGACAGGCTTTTGCTTGGTTCATCCGGATACTAAAAATAACAAAATTTCATTTTCAACTTTATAAAACCACAAGTGGAAGGTAAATGTATTTACTCACATGTATAGCGATAAGATGTCCATTTCGCTCCGCGGTGACTGCATGTGGAGACTCATAAACGCATTTGACATTTTGCAGTGTGTCCTTACCACTGCAGAGTTCTTCACAGTAAGGTTCGCTATATATCTGATCTGCATAAGCTTCACACTATGGACATTATTTGTTAGGTATGTAAGTAAGATATCTATGTACAAACATACATACATATGGCATGTCTTAAAGAACATGAGAGTCTTACCGCGTCGGAACGTATGTCTCTGGTTAAGAAGTCACCACACAGTAGAGCGACATAAAACAGCAGAATACTAAGTAAAAGCACTATCAGGAAAGAGGCTATGGCTATTCTCCAAAGTGTATTGACCGTAATTTTATGCCTTTGTCGGAGTATGGGGAGTACTAAAGGCAAATACAAGTTTTTGTTCTTATTCAAAATATTAATATACGTATGTATATGTATGTATACGTACTTTTTTTGTACATCTTCGTGTCCAAAATTGTATATTACTAATTGTTTTTCTTTATCCGAGCTGGTTTTTTCTGCCCCATCCGTTTTTGTTTTGCTCTTAGGCGTACCCGTTTTCCTTAGGTTCTACTTTGACAGCGTCAAAAATACAACTGAGCGCTCCTTGTCTCCTGGATTTGCGGCAGAAGGTGAGCTCTTTGGTGTTTGTTTTATATTTTGACAAATGCAGCACATGCGCAGATAAGCGCTGCAAAATTATATATACACAAAAGGTCGAGTAAAAAGTCCTACATTATTTTTGTTTAAATTGAAAGCTTTATGTCCAATTTGTACCTTTTTGTACGGTAACTTTTTGCCATTTTGAAGGTAATGTCAATATGCCTCTCCCATGTTCTTATCGGCATCAAACTTGAGAGAATCGATTTTCACAGGCTTCTCTTGAGGTCAATCAATAACCAGGAACAGGAGATGGTAATCACTTGGTGCGAGATGCTTATAATTAGGTGGACTCATAAGACCTTCGGACCAAGCTATCAGAGCTTCTAGAGCGAGTCACTATTGATGTGTGGGCTCTGACGTTGTCCTGATGAAAAACAATTCCCATTTTTTTTGCCAAAGCTGAGGGCTTCTGTGCGATTACTTTCCTTCAGACGATTCAATGGCTGACATTACATACCTTAAATAGGAGTTTCGCTATGGCGGAGCAGCTCATAGTAGATAATAATAACTAGCCAAACCAACCGAACACACAGCAAGGCCTTCTAAGTGATTTATCTTTCATTAGCAGCCACCATTCGCCGTAGAGATAAGTCGATTTTGCTACGATTCAATATCGATTCGCAGACTCGCACCCATACATCGTGCTCCGTTGTGTATCCAGCCTTTTTCAAGTGGTTTAGAACTCTTTTCTGTACAATGTATGATGATCAGACTCGTTAATTGTTCCAAAACAAAATATCATCTCTCTAACGCCATCTGTTGTAACCCAACCGCACTTGTAGAAATGATTATTCAAGCTAAAACTTTCTTCTACGGCGAGGACGTGGCGTCCAATCATTTCCTCTTTTAGCTTTGAGCTTACAGCTGGTTTGGTTATTGTTCGTCGAGAGCGGACTTTACTTCTCATCGGTTCTTTGAAGTTACTGGCCGACCAGAACGAGATGCCTCTTGTATAAGTGTGGTTAGCGTTGCGTACTGCTATTCGCAAAGTCAGCGTTCGAGCTCGACCGAAAATGGCTGCTGTCAGATAAACAGGGAGTAAGTGAACTAGTAAATAACTAGATGTGAACTATTTCATTATCTCACTGCTCTTATGGCATTAAGTGCTTGCTGACTTCCATGCTAATCGGACAACACAAGTACTAGGGGCTTAACAAAAGTTCGGTGAGCTGGTGACTTTTAATTTATTTTTGTTAAATCTGAAAATTCAAAATCCTTTGGAGTTACTTTATTGGTCTTCGTCACAAATTTTTGGACGACCAGTTAAAATGGAGACGAGAAAACGCAAGATAGCTGCGGATAGGTCAGACGAAATTTCACCATCAACGCAAACAGAAACTCACCATGTGATTCTCTTCGGGTTTCGGCGTAATTTACAGTCAATACAAATATTCAGTGTAAACCAAATTACATATGGAACGATTGCACCGTCTTTAAAGACTATTTCTAAGTAGTTCCGAAGATTCCAGATCGGACATTTTTCCGTAGAAAATGAGCACCACGAAGGTCGATCAAAATCTTTCACTACTGACGTCACTGTAGTTCTGGTGAAGTCCACAATTGACGAAGACTCCCGATTGATACAAGAAAAGATTGCTAGTGAATTGGGTTTGAATGCCATGGCTGCATCGCGAATATTACTTAACCGTATACGAAGAAATCTGGTCAAAAAGAGGCTCGAGTGCTTTTTGCTCAATTTCTCATAAACAAATTCGATAATGGTAAGTCAAGCAACTTTAATGAAGTCGTTACTGTCGACGGATCTTGGTTCTATAGGTACGAGACAGAAAGTAGTCCATGGTATGAAGCCCAAGAGGAGCAAACGCACCCGTAAAATCTAAGCAACAAAAATCAGCAGCAAAAGTAATGACATCAGTTTACTTCACCCGATCTAAAATCGTAGCTGCTTTACCACTGGAAAAAGGTCAGACGGTAACTGCCAAATGGTACACCGCAGAGGGTAATTTTATTGCGATCTCGTAGATTGGGGAATTACGTCGAGCACTTTATTCAGCGGATAGTACCTTGTGAATTGTGCTTATTTCCAAAAATTAAAAGAAATTTAAAAGAAAAGGTCTTTGATGGCAACGAGGAGATACTTAAGGTGGTTAATGCTGAACTTGATGAGCTTAAATAACCAGATTTTAAAGACTGTTTTCAGAAGTGAATCTACAGGCTTAAGAAATGCATTGAAATCAATGGTGATTATGTAGGGAAGATAGAAAAGGGCAAAGATTACAAATAAATACAAAACTTTGTTTTTTCGGGTCAACTTACCGAACCTTTGTTAATCCCCTCTTATATGTATTAAATTGTATGAATGTATCGTTGTGTGCGTCATTAAATTTAAGCAAATTTTATAATTATATTAAAATAGCTATTATTTTTCAGCCAAAATTTCCATTGATTAAGACATGCCACCATTCATTTCGACACGACATTATAGTTTCAGACACGTACAACCGAAAACCCGCTTGAAAGGAAAAATATGTTTCGGACCACCACAGTACTGTTATTAATTTGTTTCATTTTGGTATGTGTGGTATGGTCATGATGGTGCAACTTCAGAGCTAAAAAGCTTAATTATTGTTTTATCCCTTAGACAAAAGAAGCAGGAGCGCGCACGGTCTTAAAATTTACCAATGCCAAATGTGAGTCCTTCAACAAATCCTGGGCGGTGATCAATGAGTGTCGATTGCGCGCATTTAAACGAAACCTCGTGGGATTGAATATAAATATAACTCTGTTGCATCCAGCTCATGATATTAAGGTATGACGTAATAGCGGTAATTATTGCCATAGAGTAATACGAAATATATTGTTTTCAGTTGGCTATAGTCTTCCTGAAGAGAGCTAATGGCTATAAGCCATTCGTTTTGAACACCACACTGAACGCTTGCGAATATATCCTTAAGAAGAATAATCCTGTCGCCAATTTGGTATATCCGCTATTTAGAGATTTCAGCAATATAAACCACACTTGTCCCTATGTGGTGAGTACTCTTGGGGTATTTCCAAACAGAATGTTTCTAAAAATAATGAAACTCTTCGCTAACTTTCAGGGTGATCAAATTTTGAAAAACTTTTATACCAGAACTGAATTATTTCGAGTGATCTTTCCTAATGGAGATTACGTTGTGCTCTTGAGCTGGATACTGAGAAATATCAAAACTTTTACTACCGATGTATATTTTACCGTGATGACGACATAATAATATAGTGCCAATTTGACAAAATTTGTTAGCTTAAAAGTGTGTTTTTTTAGCTTTCAGAACTTACTTGGTTGTTCCAAGCTTCGGAAATCATCTTCGCACCCAAACGGAGGGGCCTGCACTTTATACGAAGCCACCTCCGAAGGTTTTTTATAAGGAGCTTTCATTTTTTCCGATATGCTTTTTCAATTTTGCCTTCATTTAAATGCCTCAACGTTCCGGTTAGTGATGGAACACCACTTCATCCTTGTCGAATGTGTTTTCTGAAGTCCCGATTGCAGCAGTTTTGGTTGCTTACGCAGCCGCAGATGTGATATTCAGCTTTATTGGAAAAAAAGGATTTGAAACTTTCCTAGGGCCTTATACAGAATCCCACTTTAACTCCCGCGAAAGGTGGAAAAGATATTTATTTATTTTCCCATACAACTTCGGTCATAGCTGTCTGGTCACGTTACACGTGATCTCGTTCAACCATCGTGAGTCAGCTGCCCCGGTGAAGGCCAGTTTAAGCATGTACTTAGGCATGGACAGAGGTAAACCAACATCATATGCGTTTTTTATCATAGATAGAGGGGTTCCTTCTATTGCGAGTTCGTCTGCCTTGCAATTGCCTGGGATGTCCCTGTGTCTAGGTACCGAGTTCACGGTACTTTGTTGAAACTGTTTTTACAGTTTTTTGCCATTTTTGACGTGGTACCGTTACATTGAAAAGATCTGATTGCAGCCTGACTATCGGTAGATTGTTACTGATTGTCCTGTCGCCGCTTTTTGAAAGCAGGAGAGAATAAATTCCGCAACCCAATTTCCCGGCGAGCTTCGAGCCGTCTGTGAAGATGGCTATTGCTCCTTGGTCGGGTCCGTTGGTGGTTTCCAACTCGCATTTGTTTGTGGTTCTTGTTGAGAAAAGATTATCGAAGCATACACTGGAGGTGATGTAGTCCAGCTCCTTCGGCACATCTGTAAGAGATAATATTCTTGTATATCCTCTACTGAAATTCTTCCAAGGTTGAGTTACATTCAATCTTTTTGCAACCTGCTTGTAGTTTCCCGTATAGGTCAAGAAGAAGGATGTTGAGAAGATTTAGCAGTGCTTTCGGTGAAGTTGATGGCAACGCTCCCATTATCAGTATGTACGCCGATCGTTGAATTTTATTTAATTTGCGCCTGAAGGTGATTTTCAAGAGTGTCGGCCACAAGACGGTAACTCCGTAGAATAGGATTGGTCTTACTACCGATGAGTATATTCAATCCACAATAAGGCTGAGGGACACTTTCAATAGATAATGTAAAAGCTGCAGTTGTGAATATAAGGAAGAAATGTCTGTTATGCGATTATCCTGCTCTAAAACTTCTGGAGGCCGCCTTCATAAATAGTCTTTGCGGGTGACAGAAACTAAAGACCCAATAAGGTTCTGAGTGCAGGGAAAAATATCTTAATGAGTTAAAATCTAAAGATTTATTACTTTTTCAAATGTCGGCTGTGACTACATCTCAGACGGGTCATATATTGATTCCTACTTTCAATGACTCGTAACTGGCGATTAACACGCGTGATGTTTTGCTCCAAGGCATAGACTTTAGACTTTACATATCTCCACAGCAAAAAGTCTAACGGTGTGATATCACACTGCTCACCGAAGTGCTCTCTCAATAAATGTATTAATTGATGCAATGTGTGGGAAGTGGCGCCATCTTGTTGAAACCAAATGTCGCTGAGATGATGAGCTTCTTTTTCAGGTGTGGAATAGTCGGTTCTCATAGCGCAATAACGATAACACCAATGACAGTTACGTTCCCACCGCCATTATTTTTGAAGAAATATGGACCGATCATTCTACCGGCCCACAAACCAATCTAAACCGTTGTTTTTTCACATTAAATGACAGCTCTTGAACCTCTTCAAGATGCTCTTCTCCCCGAATTCAAAAAAATTTACAGAAAGTGAATTTTCGTAATAAAGTTGAACGATTTGGAAGCGTTGTTTAAGGGACACACCTAGTGTGTAGTTTCAAAAAATCGATATTTTTCTTATTTCGGTAGATTATACCTTTAAAAATAACATATTAAAATTTCAAATCGGTATCTCAAATAGTTTTTGAGTTATAGCAATTTAAAGAGCAGTCGCTCGGCAGCTACAAGACGCACCTGAGGTATTTTATCTCTAAACGCGTTTTTTTCGAAACAGCATTTTCTGAATTTGCTGTAGTGGTTACTCAAAAGCAAATTATCCGATCACTATCGAATTTTTTGTATATTCTCTATATATAAACTTGATAATATTGTCCGTACAATGACCTATCGATTTTTGATCTGATCAAAAAATCGAATTTCGGCAGGCCAAAAACGTCCAAAATTTTGGGTAAAACTCGACTATTTTTTTTTAAATGCCGCCATATTGTCAATTTTGAGGGTCATTGTGCAGACAATATTAACTAGTAGAGAATTTTTTTTTAGATTTCATCCACGGAGAAGGCCGGAATCACTGCAGCAGTGAAGGAACTTTTTTTCGTGCCGTTGGAGTTTGACTATAACTTAAAATATATTTCATTTTTTTTCTTCTACAACTTCACTGTATATTCTTGAAACATGTATAAATATATTCTTAAAATTTTGAAATAATTGATAAAGTATTTTTTTAATAAAAATATCCAAAAATCACCGTTCTCTTAGGCCATAACACTAAGTGTGCCCCTTAAGTGTAAATCTTTCTACGATGAAATGCCAAGCAATACTGAAAAAATGGCATGCCAATGTGACACGACTCACAGGTGGTCTGTCAAAAAAAGGCTATTGGAGAAGTACCTCTACTTGGATCACCAGTTAGAATGAAAATACTTGCAAACTTCCAGCACAATAAAAGACTTGAATGAAATTGTTCTTAACGTATTTTTTTTTATTTATTTTCTTTCATTTATTAATTCTGTTTAAATTTCTTGCTAAATTGAGCAATTTTTATATAATTTATTTTTATATATTTTAATTTTGTTTATATGTATTCATAATCAATAATGTTGTTTGTTTTTTGTGTTGTGTTGTTTTTCATTTATTTATATTCGTTACTAATTGAATATTAATGATTATACCTAAAAATAAATAAACTAAATTAAATATAATTAATTATATATGATTTTGTTGGTCAATGGTTTAAGTAGCTTCTTGCACGTTTTATTTGTTTTTTTTGTTTTTGTTTTTTTTTTGTATTAATTATATCTTCTACATTAATTATTAGTTAATAATGCATTTTCGTAATGATGGTTTATTTGAAGTTTTACGTTTTTCCTTAGTTTTCGTATTCGAGAATTGTTTTATTGCACGTTTAGCGGGTGTAAATGAATTCGTTTTGCGGTTTCGAAATAAATGTGAAGCGCCATTTTGTTTTATTTCATCTTTAAATATCTACAAATGAATTTCTTACAAAAAATGTGCTGCCTTTTTGTATGTGATATTTTTTACGGTAAATCATAAGTCTGAAATCTTTTAGGATTTCATTTTTTTTTTAACTTTCAACTATGATTCCACTAAATTTTTGCTTATAACATATTTGTTTATTTGTTTTTGCTTTTCTATTGTATTAACCACATACACGCACATATGCGCGACTTTCAGTTTTCATTATTCGCTTTGTCTTTATTCATTATTGTTGTATTTTGCGTTTAACTATTTAACTATTTTTCTATGTTTCTGCAGTTTTCATTTTCATGCCAACACTCTGCTGCTGCTCATGTGAGCGTCATTGGTTTTATGCTAATTACATATATATATATATATATATATATATATATATATATATATATATTTGTGTATGTATAACTTTTATTCAATCATAATTTTACTAAGTATATAGTGTATTTATATTTATTATTATAAATAATTGTGTGTTCATTTAAATTACCTAAAATTAATTACGCTTACGTTGTTGTGTTGGTTTTTGTTGTTTTGTTTTGATGAACATTAAAAATTGTTTGTGTAATTTTTTCATTAAGTTTTTTATCATATTTATATGCATGTGTGTGTATATATATTTTTCTCTAATTCAATCAACTCGAATGCCTTAATTGTAAAACAATGATTTATTTTTTAATATATACATTTAGAATAACACACAGCATTGCATAGCCACACGTTCAATGGAGCATAGCAGAGCCGAGCGATTTTGCGTTGGAAATAAAATGTGAAATTGTAATTAAAACTTTTTTGGGATTTCATAATTTTAATATTTTATATAATTAGCTTATTGACAATATTGAAATAAATTACTTTAATTGTCTCTGCTCAGCTGTGCCATATTGAAAATTCAACCATACAATGCCGTTAGAATCGATATTTATTTACTTTTCGCATATCGTTTACTTTTCCAAATATTCCCATGCATTTATTATGTATTTATTTTGTTCAGTGTTAACATTTGGTTTTTGATTTCGTGTGTTACTAAAATACATACGTTTTTATATGGAATTTAATAAAAGTTTTAATTTGTTATATAAACAAATAAAAAATAGAAAATTACACAATAAAGTGAAATAAAATAAAAATACTATTAAAGAAATAAAAAAATAACAAATAAAATAAAATAAAATAAAATAAAATAAAATAAAATAAAATAAAATAAAATAAAATAAAATAAAATAAAATAAAATAAATTAAAATGAAATGAAATGAAATGAAATGAAATAAAATAAAATAAAATAAATAAAAAAAAAATAAAATAAAGCAATATAAATTAAAATATAAATTAAAATATAAATTAAAATATAAATTAAAATAAAATGAATTAAATGATGAAAAACAACAAGACACAAAACCAAAAATTGTAGGAAGATCTCGGTAGAAAGAAACGTAATTTAAAGATATTAATACAACAATATAAAATAATAAAAAGTGAAGAGAAATTAATAAATAAAAATATATAAAAAGAATAAAAATAAATAAATGAATAAAATTACCAAAAAGAAGTAAATAATTTATTTAAACGGGATACAATAGAAAGACATTTTCGGAAA